CTGAAGCAATAATAATAATTAATAATAATAATAATAATAATAATAAAAGGCAATGATATTCCCAGCTAGGAACTCCACCTTACTTTTGCTTCTAGAAGAATAAAACTAGTTGTGCCTGTTCCTAAGACCGCAAATGAAGCAAAAAGGGTCCACGAGTTTTATTTACATGCTTCATGTCTTCAACAAGAACAGAACTGTAACTGCATTCAATTTGGTGTATTTTCACCAGTTTAGCAGACTGTCGTCCAGAAATCTGGTTGGATCAAGGTTTTCTTCTCCAGCTGTAAGAAAAAAAAATTATATAAAAAGAACACACTTTCCATGGTTAAAAAAAAAAAAAAGAGAACCACCGGAAAAATATTTAATCTCCTAAGTTATGTTAACTCATGCACTCTGCTACTGAAAATTTAAAAAAAAAGAGGATTTGATTGATTTAGTTTTAAATTTTTTCCTCAGTATGAGACATATCGGAGAGCTCACATTTCACACCTCACTCTCCATGAGCACAGCGTCAGAGCTGTGGGCCAGCAGCCTGTGTCCTGACCCCCAGACTACTCACTGTATTTTTTATACATTTTAACATTTAAATTATGTCATAAATACTACATCATTACAATTTTTGAGAAGGAAAAGTCCAGGTCTATTTATGATGCTTCGATGACCTCTATTTTTAATAGTCATAAAACTTATATACCTTGTTCATTTGATTCTTAGCAATCCTGCACGTGGATATCATTATTCCATCCTACCTATTGATACTAAGCTCAGGGTCACCCGGGTAGTAACGCAGCAGAGCCAGAATTTGAACCAAGTACTGCTATAGACTCCAAAAGCCGTGGCTAATCCATTATCAAGATGTTTCTTAATTCAACTAGTAGTTTTAATGCTATGCAGGCAGAATGTCTCTATTTGAAGGTTACACCTAATCCTGGCCTAGAAGGAGCTGTCTAATGTAGTGAAAAGTACACAGACTTAGGATCAGAACTGTCCTGTATCTATTAGGGTGAACCATATGAAATCGCTGTGTTCGTAAGTGTAAGAAAAATTGGTTTTCAGCAATTTCATTTGGTTCAACCTTTAATAGTGAGCAACTGGATTTGTGATTATTTAAAATTCTTTGGGCCTCAGGTTTTTCAATTATAGAATAATAAAGTTGGACTTTGAGCTCTTTCAGTTCTAAAGTTCTAAAAGAAATAAAGGTTACAATAGGCTATGGGCTGGGTAATTCATATGAAATTCCCCAGTCTCTCCAAGGAAATAGTTTTATGTTCTTAGTACTCACTTTAATGAGAAATATACTAGCCTTTAAATAGTCAACATTCTGTGAATTTCGGGGGAAAGGTGGGAAATGTTAAATATTTTTTAAAAACACCTGAATTCATAAAGGCAACTTTGTTGCACTCAACACAGAATCCAAAAAGTAATCAAAGCCTCTCTGTCCTGCAGTTGAAAGAGGTCACTATACTTGTACCTTCTTGTGGTTTCTGCAAGGAAGCCAATAGCAGAGCTGCGGCCTCCAGGAGAGTTAGTAGTCGGGCATTTGGACTTCGTCTTTCTGGAGAAACAAAATGTATAAAGATCCTATTAGTATTTAACTATTCATATAGATTAATCCTATCCCATTATGCTACGACACTAGAAAAACCTCTATGAGATAGATTTGTGATCCCTCAGCAAAGAGTTCCTACGCAGAAGACTGATTTTTATAAATTGAAACATTTCACATTCCTGTGGACATTACTTACAATTGGTTATGTTGTATATCACAGAATGTAAGCTATAGATGACACAGAATTTCATGAAAGCAAGGAGGATTAAGATAAGGAGCCCATGAGAAATTTCTCCCTTCAGAGCTTAATGTGGGATGTCTGGGCAGAAAGATTTACATGTGATCCTGCTTGGAGCCTGGACAACCTCTTCTGTCATTCCTTCCAAAGCAACTTGAGATCATCTACATTCTTGGCCACACATAAGGCAATTATTTGACGGAAGGAATGCATATCTGCTAAATATTCAAAATTATTTCAAGTCCAAGTTGACAGAAGACAAAACATCCTGATTCAACACAAACCACTATTTTTAATTTGGGAGCAAATGAAAACATGGCTTACCCTGGTAAAGTAAATAAGCTTAATTACACTGCAATATCGAAAAAGGTAAATGAATACCTGTTAAGCACCTACCTATAGGTGGTGAACACAGTTTGTTTTTTTCAAAATAAATATACTTTTTAAATTTCCTTTTTTTTTAGAGAGAGAGTGGAAGGGAGGGGGGAGGAGAGAGAGAGAGAGAGAGAGAGAGGGAGGGAGAGAGAGAAAGAGATGTGGGCAAGACACACATGGATTTGAGGCCCAGTTGGGTTGCACTGCAACCCAGGTAGGTGTCCTTGACCAGGAATAAACCCAGACCCTTCTGTGCACTGGCCGACACTCTAACCATTGAACCATACTGGCCAGGGCAAAGTAAATATACTTTTTAATTTTAGCATTTCAGTCTTTAAATTTTACCAAAATTCATTGATTTATGATCCAGTAGCATGGAAAGGTTTATCATGAAAAAAACAAAACAAAACAAAACAAAAAAACCAGTCCCTAGCACCATTCTTTATAGCCTCCATTGAACTGTTTCTGGTTTAGAACATTTTGATAGCTCTTTCTAGTAACATAAGAGGCATAGATTTGAAGTTTCTATGTAAATCACTATTTTAACAACAACAATAATAACAATACAATGTTTAAGAGGAGACTGTGTAAAGGTCCTGTCATGGCGGGGAAGTACATTTTGGGAGAAGCTGTATAATTTCCCCTACCCCTCCTAACCCCCAGAGCTGAACCCCAGGCCTTGGGTAACTCCCCGGGTCTTCTGCACACCGGGGTGGCCAGAGCGACACTTTGAGCAGCTGTGACCAAGTCCAGCTTGGGAGTGGCAGCCCCGGCCCAGGGCGGGGCGTCGTGAGCCCCCAGCTCTGAGCTCTGCCCCCTGGGGCTGGGCCCGGGG